TCAGCATTACCAGTGAAGCTTTTCAAGAAGTTCTTCCTCCTTTGTTATTCAACATCTTGGAGGACTACATAATGCGATATTGGTTTGTCACAAATAGTAACGATGGATGACCGTTCGTCAGCGACGCAGCTTCAGATACTTGGCGATTTTCTTAACGGACCTTGAGTAGGCTATTACGTCGTGCAGTCAAGCGACTCCTCAAGTGGCCTACTGACATTCACTGGAAACTGTGCAACACCGCTCTTATATCGGGGCTACGTTCAAGCGAACGCCAAAAAGGGTGAAGACTGAGAGGGCGCTCTTCGCGAGTCCAAAAACATGTTATGTAATGATGCCACGATGGAAGAGATGGACCACTTAAAATACCTTGGAACTGTTTGGGCCGTTAAGAGGGACCCTGACCTTTGCCTGAGGTCGAACTAGAATCGGCAAATTTCGGCTAGCTGTATGGAATACAGATGGAAAAACTATGCGATCCGAGACAAAGATCATCATCCTGAATGCAGCCGGATTCAAGATGTTCATCTACAGTCTCGAAATATCTGCGGCCCATAAACGTCGTAAAGTTTATCTGGAAAGTTTTCAACAGCGCTGTCCATGAAGTATCCTGAATGTGAGGTGGCACAGTCGGGCCACAAGCGAGGTGTTGCTTAGGACTACCGACCTGAGAAAACCACCAGATGTACTCAAAGTCCAGCGTCTGGCTTGGTTCGATAAAGCAGCTCTAAGAGAAAACAGAGTTATTTCTAAAACGTTTCCACGTGGCAACGGTCAGATGGCCGTAGACGCGTTTGAGGACACTACGAAATATGGAAAGGCCTCCTAGAGGCAGAGCTTCTGGCGAAGAGGAATACGACCTCTACTGCTGCAGCGAATGTTGTCTAATATCAGTCTGAAATACTGTTTTTAAAAGTCAGATATCATACATCTTGGTTGCTCCACTGTTTATTCTCTGTTAGCCTTTGATGACAATGACGCAGCAACAAGAACAACAAATATATCTGACTGAAGATACAGCGTTAAATCTTCCTGCGCAACACTAATAAATACTCAGTTCTTTCTCATTAAATCTACCAATCCTACATTGTACTAACTCATAGTCGGCTATCAGAGGATCAAGAGGATTTGCCACCGTACAAGGCGCCTGCCCGGACAACATGACCATGAACTCAGCACCCTCTGTGTAACCACAACAGAAGGCTATGCTACCTAGTTGTTTGCCTACCGGACTTGCGACGCGTTTCTCGGCTGGTTACATTAAGTCTGAAGTTTTTGTTCAGTTGAACTCTGGTTCATCGAAAAAGTTTTAAGTGCCGTGGGGCACTTCACTGAAAGTATAGAGTCAAGCTACAGTACGCTGAGGCACTACCCCGACCTTACAACTGCACATATCTACTACATATATGACATATTTAACAAATCATACTTTATCAATTGGTTGTACATGTCGACCAGTGCATTCAGCAGCAGAAACGTGTGCAAATTTCGCAGTGCTAAGCTTTAGTTGTCTCTCCATATTATTTCATTCATATTTCATTGCTTAACTTACTGCTGACGGTTTTTGAAAGTCGTCAGATTTATTACGGTGATTATTCTAACTGTCATGCTCAAAATTACTATTATCAAAATCAATTTTATTGATATGGAGGCAGGCGACGTTGCCACTAAAGAGAACAACGCATTTACTACAGGGTAGAGATCCTACCAACATTTTTGTGTATGTGGCATGAATTTATTCCGTGAGAAGTTATGCAGCCTTATCCCACACAATAAGTGCATACACTGCTCATGCGAACCATGCCAACCGGCTTCTGTTTCCTATGGATGACCAGCAGGCACCTCCCACAACCATTATGCGGTACCATCAATCAGTAATATTTATTATTTCTATCGTGGTATTTTATAATTCATCTTATCAATAAATCGTCAACTTTCCTACGCAAATGACCCCTTTCGGCAGCTAAGAGCATGGGGCGGTGCAACATGCCGTTAAATATGGTCTTAGGAAAGCTGTGTTTCTGACATGCTATTCCGTGCGAATTCATTTTCATGTTTACGAAATGACTTGTAAGGAGTACCAGGTCATGAAACCTCGTTTGCAGTGAGCGCAATGCGACTCTAACAAGTTGTACAGTTGGAAAGGAAAACGGCCGACATGCACGCGGATCAGATCATAAGAAGTAGCAGACGAAGGCCGTCCATGGTCTTGTCGGATCGATCGGCGCTCTGTCGATGTGTACATAGTAAAACGATAGTGCAAACAAGAGAGCTAATGGCGAGAGCAAGAGGAATTTTCCGTGCCAGGTAAAACAGATCAGTGTTTAAACGACATCACAAGACCCAGTAGGTTTGGGTCTACAAGCTACAATGACTAGCAGCGATGGCGATGAG